AACTACAACATGCCAGGATTTTATGGATATATGGCATCTTCAGAGAAGTTASACTCTTTGCTCACATAAATCTAAAATAATGTATATATAAAACAGACAAAAAACCCAAGAACAACAAAAAAAAAAATCACCAAAGTCATTCATAGCTGAGTTATCACACCACAAATACACACACTCATGAATTTCAGTATTTTGGTGGAGAACCGTAAAGAAAAACTACATGGTTCATATGGTCTGTTTTCAACATCCAGTGCATGTTTTCTTGCCTTTCAGATATCCAGCTTCAAAAATTGTAGAACTCTCTTGGGAAGCAAACACCTTGAAACTCATTGTCTGGAGCCTTCAGTTATCTCTCAGACCATCCTTGCCAGTCACCCTTCCAAACTGCTTGCTGGTTCTGATGGAAAGCATCACTTCTATAGGATGAAGATTACACCCTTTAGTCATCCTAATGGAGCGAAAAGGTACAACAGTTTTCTACCACCAGACTGAAACTTATTTCCATTTATTTTCCCAAGCATCTTAGCAATTTGAAAGAAACTATCTAATATAAATGTAATATATATGAATGTGTAAAGGTTAGGCCTTATTCAGTGAGTTTAAAACAATTAMGAACCCCTTCAGAATATATATTTACACTACCTGCTTCTTTTATTTGGCTCCCTTCAACAATTCAGCCTTAAAGGGATATTTTGGCTACAACTGACTGTGTTAGAACAGGAGAAAGCACTCATGGCTGAAAAGAGATGTTTATATACACTAAGCGGGCAAATTTAARTCACATTGTCAGTTTCCAAGAGCAATCTTCTTGACCAAAAGGAAGTTGCTGTACTGTGAAGATTTTTGGGAGATGAAGAAATAAACTGTAAAGTTGGCAAGAAAAAAAAGAGTGGGAGAGAAAAACTTTGAAAACATAGGAGGGGAAAATGCAAGGTATTTCACTACAGAGCGTTTTATGTAAAGCCCCTTTGGGTTTCAGATGGTCTTGATTTTGGACACTACAAGACAAACTACATACTTGTGGCTTCTTAAAATGCATTAAACAAGTAGAAAATAATGGTTCATTATGTTGTAGAATTATTATAAGTAACAAAATAAACCAAAATAAAATGTAATATCTAACATGGTTATTTTGGATAACCATGGATAATATATATGAATTTTAGAAAGTTAACACCGTTTTGGCACCTCCAAGAAGTACAAAGTTTTAAAACTTTCTTCAGAGATTTTAGTTGGGTGGTTTTGTTTTTTGGTTTTTTTTTTTTTTTTCAGAAGCTTCAAAAAAATAAACAGTGACCAAAAGGACAAGATAATACATTTTGTTCCATGCTTTATGTGTCTTGAAGTTATTGCTTATAGTAGAATAAGCAGATTAAGAGCCAGTAGGATGCTCTAGAAGTTACCATGCCAAGAGTGATTTAAACAAATGTTAAGTGCTTGTTCTCATAGATACTGAGATGCTTCTCTTAGTTTTAGATTAAACTGGCAGTTAGTATAAGAAAAAAAAAAAAAAAGATCTATTAACGTGGCAACTGGTTTACATACAAACAGATACCATATTTCCTTTTCACTTTTCATTATTGACCTTAAATTTTGCCCAGCATAGTGCCAGAGAATCTGGTCAGCAATCTGCTTTAACAACCCATTCAGGACACAAAATCAGCACATCCCAAGGGGATAGAAGACATTGTTTCAGTGTGTCAATGCATTCAGATTTTTGTCCAGGTGAGCCTAACTACCAAGGACTCATAAGCCAAAGAGTCATGTGGTTCTGCAGGGTGTGAGCAGAGAACTACATACCTGTCCTGMATGGAGACTTCTCATTCACATGAAAGAAATTACTTTTCCCATCATGTCCCCATAAAAAGAGGTCAGAAATAAAATGTTTTTCCTGGTATAATGTCTTTTTTCATTACAAAAGCAATCTTCTTTAAGAGCAAATATGGTTTAGGCCTATTTGAAAGTCATTCGGTCACTTAAAAATTAAATATACCATATTAAAAAATTCTGCTTCTATTAAGGTCTTGTTTACTTGTATGTTATTAATAATTCTACTACTAAATTTAATATTGTGAAGTTAAATAARCATCCAAAATTCATCCTCCAGTAAGATCTTACAGAGACCTTCAAAGGGGAAAAACAATCACTTTCATTTTTGTCAAACCTTAGCTGTAACTTCAAATATCAAACTCTTCATGACTTACAAGCACAATCAATAAGCATCAAAAYCACAGGTCCCTATTTAAGTGAAGAGCACTGTAAAAATGCATTTTCCTTATCTTGGTGATACTCCTGAAAACAGTTGCTTCTAGGATAGAAACATATGCTTGAAATCCTAACAAAGATATGCTGGAATTTCCACAAAGCGATCGGCTCTAAAAATCATATCACACTGAACCATGAAATAGAAAATGTATCTAGAATTTAGTGCAAAATTTAACACTCATGAGTTCCGCTGATYCTGTTATCTGCTCCATTTACATGCCAATCTACACCTCTACCTAAAAATGCTTTTCTTAAAACCCTTAAAATAAATTACTCCAGCACTTCCTTTGTAGCGTAAGTTGATTTTACACGTGTCTTGAGAAACGAATACTTAACATCGAACCATAGCCATTAAATTGATACCATCCAACAGCAAAGGTAAATTATGCAAATCAGAATTATGCAAACACCTTTTTTTTTTAGTTGCTATTATTTCTATTTTGTGCAGCTCTCTGTTATAGTTCGTTATTGAGGATGAAATTATTTTAGTATCATCATAAAAAAAAAAAAAAAAAAAAAAAAAAAAAAAAACCACGGCAAAAGTCAGAAGTTTGTGCCACCGATGAGCTATTTATTGCTTTTAACGTCTATTAAGGCACCTGACAAACAGAACTCAAACACTGTAGCTGGAGTTGTCTACCAAAAGCATCTTTCTTACAATCTACAAAAAGTCATGCAAGTGGCATTCAGAAATGAATACYTTGCTTCCTCCCAGCAGCTTTGGGGGGTATTTCCTTCGGTATATATACATAGCACAGACCGCTACTCCTTTTTTTTTAAAGCCTCTCTTATATAACAGACTGCAAAAACCATCTCGGAACAGCATGATCAAGATGCGATCCCCTGTTTTGGAACTACAACATTCAAMATAATCACATTCAACCCAGTCCCAAGCTATTAATCAACTTCTTACTAATGACGGTGATCGATAGCAAGTTCTCTGCAGTTTTGCAGCTGATAGTCAAGSATCCCAAAGGATCAGGTCATTCACAGAAGGAAATGAGACAGCTTCACCAACTTGGCTCAGAAATTATCTTACAAGGGTATTTGATCATCATATAATGTTTTGCTTAAATATCAGTCTTTCTAGGTGGTTTGGGTTTAGTGTTGGGGCTCCTCCCCAGATAACCTGTGTAAAGGCAACAAAAGCCCTAAAGCCACTTCAGTCTCAGGGGCCCACAAGTAGGAGATAGAGCAGCTTTCTCTGGAGACCTGCCCTTAACCCCTTCATGCCGTATCATTTACACACTGGCCAACCAACTAGGCTGTCTGAAAAAGATAAACCCAGCCTATGGGAGTTATATAATCAGTTTATTTTCCAAGATGGGACAAATATATCCTTAAGTACAGAATGACAAAGATTTTTTTTTYCCCTCTCTTGATTTTGCAAAAGACACAACAGACTTACATAAACTCCCTATAATTCTGGGTTGTCCTCTGTCTTGAGGTACGTAAGTCTTGACGTACCCTATGGAGAGGTTTGCTACAAAGCAGAGCTCCGGCTGACTCACTGTTTTTATTTTACATATAGGCTACCTATAAAGACTTCGAAAATAAACCTGCAATGTGAAGTTTTTAACTTGTTATTGCCAATAAAAAGGCATACATGTTTTAAGGGGCACAGATATCAGTTACCTCAGCCAATGAAGTTAAGAGCTGGGTGTTCAATAAAGAAGCTTATTCATTTCTCAATATTTCTTCCAAGTTTTGGATATTTTTTTTTCTGTAATTCATAGGGTTAACCGTGACACCCTGAATCCAAACAAAGCACACCCTAACAAAGTATAAGAAAATGTATCTGCACAAGATACTGTATTACTCTTTCATGCATTCGTGCTTCCAGTCCCTCCAGGGGAAATTTATCATGGTTTCTAAAATTATCCCTCTTCAGGGCTTTTTAATTTTTCTCCAAGATCCCCGGCCAGATGAATTTGTGTATTACACGCACTGCCTGTGCCGCTGCACCTCCTTCCTCTGTGGTGACTTGATTCAGCTGAGACTACGATTTGACCGATCGATGCAAGCACATTACACACCAGAATAAGAGTAAGGTAAGGGTAAAGGAAAGAAAAGCATCTCTCCTTTCAGCCATTAAATATAGATCAACGAAACATCACAGCGCACATCGCGGCTCCCCTCCCCACCCCCTCCGCCCGCTCCTCGAGCGCAGGATTTCGCAGACGGTGGCTTCAAAGGAAGAACACACACCCCACACACCCCTCGGCACACGCACACACAGACATCCACAAGCAGCACAGACACASAGAAACACGCAGCAGCCGTCGCTCGGAGCCGCCCCAGGGCCCGGGCTCCACGCAGGGCCGGGCACTGCCCCCGCCCGCGGGTYCCCGGGCCCCTTCTTCTTCTTCCCCGTCTTCCTCCTCCTCCTTCTCCCTGGCCCATGACTTCACCGCCGTAACGAGCACATTAGTGCAGGGCGTCGGGAGACACGGTGCCGCGGATGCCCTACATAAGCAACGACTAACGCAGAAAGAAAGGGAGGAAAGCGATGGAGGGGGGGAGGCCCGGGAGAAAGAACCATGGGGAAATAACGCACTTTGTTACCTTTCGGCTGAAGGCACAAACACCGCTCCTTGCAGCCCAACCCAGCCCGGCTGCCTCGCCGAGAGGAGCAGCGCAGGACCCCGMACCAAGAAGAAATATCACGCAAGCGGGAAGGGTGTGGGGGGGGAGGGGGACGGACCTGGCACCATTACGGTGCTTRTCGTACTCACCGATCGGCGCCGATTCCGCCTGCTTGCTCCCAAACATATACCAAAACCCAAGAGCAAATCCTCAGTCCGCTAGGCAAGAATGAAGGGGGGGAGCGGGGGGGGGCGAGCGACGGCCCCGGGCTTCACCGCAAGGTCCTGACCTTGCCCAGCTGCAGCATCTTCGGCTTGCCCCCCCCCAGGGCGTGCGTGTGCGCCCGTGTGTCCCCGCGTCCGTGCGAGCGCTCCGATCCGGCTCCGAGGGGCTCGGCCGCAGGACAGCTGCCCGCTGGCTGCCGGGGCGAAGAGGGCTCGGCATCCACCGCCCCGCCGCTGGGGCGAGGCGCGGGGCCGCTGCGGCGGCGGCGGCTGGGGCAGGCTGCGCGGCGGCGCCGTAGCGCAGCGCGCCGGGCGGGCGCACCGGCCGCGGGATGTGGCCGAAGGAGACACAGCCGCCGCCGCAGCATCTGCCGCCGCCGCGCTCCCGCCCGCCCTGCCTCCCTCCCTCCCGCCTGCCTCCGCCCCTCCCTGCCCGTCCCCTCCCCGGCAGGAGCGCGCCCGCCGCGGCCGAGCAGCCGGCGCTGGGGGGAGAGAGGGGGCGGGCGGCCCCGCTACCGATGAGGCGCCGCCGCCTGTGCCGGGTGGGGCTGAGGTAGGGCCGGGCCGGGTCCCCCAGCCTCGCCGCAGAGGGGCGCGTCCCCGTGCTCCCCCAGACCACCGCGGCCGGGGGGCTCTGGTTTACTGGGGAAAGGGGAGGAAGGGCGGCGGGCGCAGGTGTGGGGGCGCGCCCCGGGGCGGGGGTCGTCTGTGGGGAGCAGCCCCTGGGCAGTGACCGCGGCTCCTGCTGTCACGGGCTGGAACTTGAGGGCTGCCAGCCAAAACGGTGACAGCCACAGCGAAGCAAGAGCTCGTTCCCCGGCTCGTGTCTGCCTCAGTTCTCTCCTCCCATGCTTGGGAAACCTAGGTGGGAAATCTACCATGTTTTCAGAAGTCTTCTTGCGAGCAAATAGGGTAAGGAATATGGAAGTCAGGTTTACTCCTGTGCACGCTTAAGCCCTCGCTGAGAAACTTGTGTGGAATGCAATTGCAGCACTCACCTGCAAGTTGCCACTCCACGGCTCCTTTCAACTCGCCGCTCGGAGTTTTGGTACCTGAACAAAACCACCAATTTTTTTKGGTTGTTGCCCGGGGTAACCGCTGCTAATTCACGCTCGCAGCGGGCTGAGCAGCAGCGCGGCAATGGGGACAGCCACAAGGTCGGTCGAGCCGCCCGGGCGGTGTCTACAGCCGGTCATTTGTTGCCCGACCCCGCGGTCGCAGCACCTGCCCCTCAGGGAGGGACCCGCGCGTCCCCGGGCGCCAGGGGCGGCCAGAACAGCCGCTCCCGAGGGACACGGCGCTSCCATCCGCCCTCCCCGCGCCCCTCCAGCCCCGCACCGCCGCGCTGGGTAAGCCATGGTGGGCCCCTCAGCGGGCTCGGCAGCGGTACCTGCCGCCGGCCTGAGCCGAGGCGCCGCCGMACGGGCCCAGCGCCGCCACCGGGCCGCACGGCGACTCGCTGCTGCCACCTCTCGCTTGGCGATCTCGCAGCTTCCCCAAACTCTCCGGCGAGCAGGAGCTTCACCTGGCTGAAGTTCCCACTTCACCGGCCCGACGGATGGTTGCGGTGGCTGCCTCCCTTCGTCTCACGGGAAGGCCGGAGGCCACGTCTTCCCAGAGCCAGAACGCCTTGTTTTCGGCCTGAGGTCACTTTTTTTGGGGAGGAGTTTATTTCCCTATTTATTGGACAGTGTAGATGGCGACTATATGTCCTTTCCCTGGGTTAGGTGAAGGTGGCCCATCCACTTGTGACAAAATCGGTAAATTACAGCCGAAGGTGATTCATCCTGGCATCACCCCTCAATGACAATCCAGACTTTCCCTAGTTAGGGCAAGAGCACCTCTAGGCTCAAAACCAGCTTCAATCCCAAACCTTATTGTCAGGTTCTGGTATGGCATGTCTTGATACTCTATTGAGTTGCAGCTAGAGGGGAGCTTTGATGGTGGCAGAACACACTGGCCACTCCAGTCTTGGCTCAAATAGAGAAGTGACCATCCAGCCCATTGCCTGAGCTTTTGGTTGGACCAAAACTTTGTTTCCACCTTGTCACTGAAGCCRACAATAGGGAGGAAGTAACATGGAGAGTGAAGACAAAAGCAGCTYATTGACTGCATCTGGAGGAGGAATATAATGTCTGCTAAGTGCAGGACCATGGGKTTTTGATTCCCAGTCTGAGACAGGCATCTAATTCTAGATGTATCAACCAGCAGTTACCTGGGTGAGTCTAGAGTCAGTGATACTAGGACCTCAAGATGTACTTGGTGATAAAATTAGTGGGTGTCACAGTACCATGGATACACCATAGCATCCTGTGATCCACCTTCTGCAGCCCAGCCTCTTTTTCAGAGCTTAAAGGTCTTTCTGTCAATAAAGGGAAAGGAGATTGAAGGACTAGAAGCATGCTGTGTCCTCCTTCCATTGCTCCTTAAATATTCCCATGTAATAGGGACATTTCATGGCCCTGGGGACTGTGCACACCTGACCTAATCATGGGATGAGCAGCGTGTGTCAGTGAAGAATGAGCCTAAGATACCTGATTCTCCCCACGCTGCAAAGGTTACCCAGCTGTGTGATTTGAGTAGTTAGCATGGTAGCTGTTAGCCTGAAGTTAAACATAGTGGCAATAAAGGTGTCTAATAATGTAGACCCTTGGTAGAAGACATGAGGCCTGGACGCAGAAGGGCTTTGGTGTCTGAAATCTCTTTTTCTCTCACAAGGTTTGCTCCTTTCACATCACCATTTTGCATGAGAGGGAATTCACCATAAGATGTGGCAAGATGTAAAAAGCTTCTCCTTTCCAGTCACTTATCCCCCGATTCTCCCTGCATCCCCTTTTCAATGATCTCTGATACCAGGGGAGGTCAAAGAAGGGGCTGGGACTGGACCTTGCTTATGGATATTGAGAAAAATAACAAGGGAATTAAATTAGTGTTTCAATAGGGCCTTTTAGTGCTGTTCTGCTGTCGCAGAGGGAACATGAAATAGAGCAGTGAGGGGAAAGAACATAAAAAGCACTGGGATCAACTTCTGGAAGAGGTTACCCCATCTACAGCAGGTACTGTCTGCCAACTTCAATCTCAGTGACTAAGCCTCTTCTTCTGACAAGCCAAAAGCATATGGAAGTGAAAGCTGTTTACTTTTTTGGTCAGTTCCCGACTTCTCAGATAGAGACAGTCTGTTTTCTCAGAYGTTGTAGATCTGTATAAAGGAATGATGTATCTATCCTAATCTTCAGTTATTCCTTGAGGGTTTGTTCAAGTTGCGTTTTCTCAATATTTTCCTATTTTCTTGAAAAAGGTGGAAAAGGAAAAGGAAATTACCATACCAAGGCAAATGCTTTCTGGCACAGAAGGTATAAAACCATCTTTGCCATTTATATTTGCCTGTTAGATTTACAATGGTTCTTGAGGCCTACAATTTCTTTTTTGTCAAAATAACATGTTAAAATATTAGAAAACTGAAAAAAAAGATATAGCAACATGAATGGAGTCAAATGCAGTGAYAGAATTTTCAGATAATTAGTCCTCCAAATGACTGTATTATAAAGAGAAATAGCAGTAACAAATTCTTCAAGCTTAGGCTCAAGGGTTGCACCTTGTGATAGCTGGTTGCCAGTGATACATTTCCCTTCCTGCTAACTGAAAATATATGTTTTTCTTTGTGAAAAAATTTAATCATCAGGTAAAGGATGAAGCTAGCAGTGGMGGTATGAGGAGGAAAAATCTGTCAGTCAGCAGTTAGATGAGTCATCTAAAGTATGGGATACTTAGACACTAGTTGTGTCTACATGTTCTGTCTCAGTATAAACCATAAGTTTTTTTTTTTCAATCCTTATTGGAACAGAATTTGGAAGTTTGAATTTTTGGACAAAGAGGAAGGCATTTCTGTTTTGACTTTCTTTAAGATTATGTTTAAATTTAAATGTGTACTTCATATGAAGATGTTTGAGRTCCTTTGTCGTGGTCCAGGTCCAGCAATTTCCTTTGTCATGCTGAAGTTCAATGGGAACATCCCATACCAAAAATGTAACTGAAGTAAAACTGGTATATGCAATAAAATCATTTTTCAGACAATCTTTAGCACATCTGGACWGAAACTGGGAAAACTTGTTTTTGCTGGTTTTAATAAACTGARAAATCAGACAAGCATGACTAGTTTTTCAAGTTTAGAGCAGTATKTCAAAGAAGTTATTGCAATTAGTGTCCTATCCCTTTCTAAGAATTATTTCAAGGTGAAATTATTAAAAGAAGTTGACAACAACCATCAAAATACATTTCAGATAAGAAAAWGCATGTTTCTTGAGACACACAATATGGTTCTTAATGAAACTAAGCTGGTAATGAATTTAAATAATTGGTCCAAATTTCTTYCCTCTTATTTGACTATCATGTTATCTTTAAAAAGTCAAGTCATAATTGAATTATAGTAATACTATATGTATTTTCCATTTCTCATAAATTGCTGCACAACATTATAACAACGAAGTATTGGTAAATCCAGGGATGAGAATGATTTTCTATGTTGCAATGATGACATGACAAGAGAAGGTTTGCATGATTGTATTTGCATAAGCTTGTGTTCTGATCTCATGAAAATATTTTTGTAGCAGAAGTCTCCTAAAGAAATACAAGGTATTTTCTGTTCTGAGGCACAGCTGGCTTCAACTCAGTCTGATTATGAGTAAATTATTGTTGAAGTGCTAAGCTTGACTGGCAATAGGAAGATACAATTGAATTTGTAGTACCTGCAGATTTTGTAAATGAATCTGTATTTGCATTGGGARAGTTGTTTTTTATGTACTGAAGACAGCTCTCAGATCCCTGGGACCTGACTGAGATTTTCTTATTCCCAGTTTCATCGACTGATGACCAGACAGGCAGTTATGAACAACTCTGAAACAGCTGGGTTAAAATATTTTTTAGATCTAATAAACTTTAAAAATCATGTAAAGACTTATTATTTAGCTAATAGCTGCCATTAGTTTCCTAAGAAATTGGGCATTTTGTCAGATTTTTACATGAGATTATACAAAAGGCAAAAAAATTTAATTTAATTGAATTCTGTTTCAGTCACAATCAGCACTCCTAAGTACAGTTAGGTACCTAGGAGTTAGGTACAGTTAAGTACTGTACTCCTAGCTACAGTAAGGAAACTGCATTGTTAATAATAAAACTTTGTCTG